CCACCCAACATTCTGAAGGTCTTTCTCTAGATTGCTCTGCTTTGCACGGATGTTGCTGGATTATGGGGGCTTTCTTTTGATCTCATTACCTGACTGGCCCATGTTCTTCTTTTCACACTTATGCCCAATGGGATCTTTTCATCTTTGGTGACACTTCTCAATTATTCTCAATTATTGGATGGATAATGTGCCATGACATGTTCCCTTCTAACTCAAGCCTTCCCCTTTGTGGGACCCACAACTTGAATCCTCTGAAGCCACAGGGCATCACTTGAAAAATATGAGATCTAATAGATGGGATGTTGTATCAGGGCAAAGTCTGAGAGATCAACAGAACATACTAACCTAAAAGGCAATCTGGACCAGCGGCCTCCTCCTGGTCAATTTTAGCCGAAGCTCTGTGTCCCTGTGCAATGTCTCTGGAAGATATAGACTGATGGACCAGCTCCATGGATTTTCCATCCAGCTCATCTTCACATTACTGTTCTGAGCCTTGATGCCCCATGTCATCCATAAATAAGAACCTCTACAGGACCTTACCATCCATAGGAAATCCTTCTTCCATGTGGGCCCTGTATGGGATGTTCCACATGACAGTAGCCAGTCTTTTCTCTCTTTTACGTTTGTTCATATTACTTGTCAAAGGTTTATAGAATAAAGCGATTCCTGCTGTCAGTCTAGCTGAGATGGGGATAGAGATAAGGGCTGGACTTGCGATTTTATTAGTATAGGGACTTCCAGGTGAGGAAAGTACCTCAATCCATGGGCAGGTTGGCATCCTTGCTGCAACATACAGTCTTAGAGTTGCTTAGAGCACTGAGAGGTTAAGGGACTTGTCCAGGGTCACACAGACACTGTCAGAGGTGGATTTGAATTCAGGTCTTCCTGGCTCCAAGTCAGCTTTCTATTATACCATGTTTCCTTTGACCAGTCTAGTTAAGTGGTCAAATAAACAAAATGAGGATGGTTATTGTGTGGATCAAATGGGATATTTGTAAACCTTAGTGCAGAGTATACAGTTGTTGCTACACAAATGCTATTATTGGGTTTAGATCCTGGATCCGCCTTTGGATAAGACCTTAGACCTCCCCTATCTCAGTTTGCCCACATGTTACAAAGCGGATTCTTTTCTTTTATGACTTGGACTAGATGAGGTAGGCAGAGAGGCAGCAGTAGCATGGTGGATAAAGCGCTGGCCTCAGAGCCAGGAAGACCCACTTGGGACACATCCTGGCTGTGTGACCCTGGGCAAGTCACTTAATGTCTCAATGCTCTCAGCACCTCTCTAAGACTATAAGGTTCTGACCGCATTGGTAGGCAGTTTCCTCACCTGGTACTTTGCTTCCCTCGCCCATAGTGCAGAGAAGGTGCCAACCGGCACTGGTAGAGAGTCCTTCCCTATACCACGGGGTGGCCTCGGGCCCCTTCCAGCCCTATGCCTTGTGACCCCTCCTCTGTCCCTCCAGGTACACGTCGCTGTCCCGCTGCTACTCGGAGACGCCGGCGTCTTTTCTGCGCTGGCTGAGCCAGCAGACACGCTGGTCCAAGTCGTATTTCCGCGAGTGGCTGTACAATGCCCTGTGGTGGCACCGGCACCACGCGTGGATGACCTACGAGGCCGTGGTGTCCGGCCTCTTTCCGTTCTTCGTGGCGGCCACGGTGCTGCGCCTCTTCTACGCGGGCTCGCCGTGGGCGCTGCTCTGGGTGCTTCTGTGTGTGCAGGGCGTGGCGGCGGCCAAGGCGGCCTTCGCTGCGTGGCTGCGGGGCTCGCCACGCATGCTGCTCCTCTCGCTCTACGCGCCCCTCTACATGGGCGGTCTCCTGCCGGCCAAGTTCCTGGCGCTGTTCACCATGAACCAGAGCGGCTGGGGCACTTCGGGCCGCCGGCGCCTGGCGGCCAATTACGTGCCGGCCCTGCCTCTGGCTATCTGGGCCGCGCTGCTGCTCGGGGGCCTGCTGCGCAGCATAATCCACGAGGCCCAAGCAGACTGGACCAGTGAGGCGCGCAGAACCGAGGCGCGCTACCTCGCTGTCGGAGCAGCCGCCTACGTGGCCTATTGGGCGCTCATGCTGGCTCTCTATTGGGGGGGAGTCCGCAGGCTCTGCCGGCCCAGGTCTGGGGGCTACCGGGTGTCCGTGTGACAATCCTCAGGGAGGCAGTCCCGTGGTGGCCGCGAGATTGGAACTCCGAGGACTTATGTTCTCGGGGGGACTTTGGGCGTGCCACTTTACCTCGTTGGGCCTCAGTGTTCTCATCTGTAAAATGAGCACGTCAGACCAGGGGACCTCTAAGTCTAAGTCTAAGATCCTGTGACCTGGCCAGCTTCTTGCTACTACTTAGGAGACCTTGGACGAATCATTTCCAGGCGCCCGGCCTGGGATTCCTCATCTGAAGGAGTTAGGACTCTACTCTTCACGTGGGAAGGTGTAGGACTCGGACCAGATCTCTGAGGGCCCTCCCAGCACTATGATCTTTTGAATCTTCTTTCGTCCACTAGGTGCTGAGACCCCTGGGTCAGTCTTTCAGCCTCACCACCTGACTAGCTGTGCGACTTTGGGAAGGTCACTTGCCCTCCCAGGCCTCAGCTTTCTCCTCTAGACAAGTTTTGGGCGTGGGGTGGGGTACAGCTCAGGGATTGGCTCTTGGCTTTCCTTTGTGATTTTAGGTGTTAGATGTAAAATGGAGGGTAAGGGTGAGACTTAGCCTGGACACTCTCCTAGGGTTCTTTCCAGCTGTGGTGTGTATTTAAATTCTCTTCATGGAGCTCTGGCCCCTCGGGATGTGTCAGAAATGGACAGGGCGCTCCCAGGGTCTCCCTGCGCTCCCTAATGTTCTCACTCTGTCTGGAAGTGAACACTACAATTCCCAGCAAGCCTTGCTGTTGACCTCCTCGTGCAGCCCCCGATGGGAATTGTAGTTTGATTCGCTGCTCGGGGCTAGGCTGGGCTGGGGACGCCTGTGTCCTGAGGGGAAGGGGTATTTATTGGGCGGGAGGGGCGTCTTCTTGTCCGTAGGGGGTGAAGAGGCCACGGTGGCCTCTGACTCTGATCTTATTTAATTCTCTTTCACCCAAAGAGCAATAAAGAGTTTTATTTATTTTCCGACCTGTTCTGCAGTCGTCGATTGGTCGACGTGGTGTTTCCCTGAAGGGCGGGGCCTGGGGCATTAGGACTCCTGGGTCTCTGAGGAAGTATTGGAGAGTCTGGACGTTTGGATACCAGAGGAGGGCGGGGCTGAGGAATGAAGACACTTTGTATTACCGAGGGGAACTTCCAGTAAACCTGAGGGAGGGTCAAATTGCTCAGTCCTCTGCTGTCTCCCCTGAATTCCTCCAGCTAGAAGAATGTCGGGTCATCAGCTCCAGGGGCACTGGAGGGCATTGGAAAAGATACTAGATACGGAATTGCAGGATCACAGACTTTCAAAGGAGGAAAGGACCTTCGTGGCCCCGCCCCGCCCCCGAATCCTTACTGTAAAATAGCCAATAATGGGTTATCCAGACCCCTGGAGATTGGTGGCACCCACTACCTCCTCCTGAAGCAAGCCATCCTCCACTTTGGGGCAGCTATATAACTGCATGACGTCAAGTCTAGATACGCCTCTTGGCAAGAGGACATGGGTTCAAATCCCCTCCCTGCCGCTTACTCCTCGTGGCATGCTAATTTCCCTCTCTTGGCTTCAGTTTCCCCATTTGGAAAGTGACTTCTGGACCTGCGATTTTACTGGGCTGGCGAGTTCCAGGTGAGGAGGTTCCTCCAAAAGTGCGGGCAAAGTAAGAGTTCCAAGCAGGGAGAGAGGCGAGCTTTGGGATGAGAATGGATTTATAGAGCTGGAGGAGAGGGACCTTGGAAGTCACCTGGTCCAATCCTGTCATTTTTCAGGCCAGAAAGCCGAGGCCCTGAAAGGACGAAGGCCTTGCCTGAGATCATAGATAGTAAGTGGGAGAGCTGGATTAGAACCACGGTCCACTGACTCCAAATGCAGCATCCTTTCCGTGGCATCCCTCCACCCCGAAAATGGCCGGTAGCCTTTGGGGTTCTCATAGCTGCGCCTCTCCCTGAATCTGTGTCTCTCATTTAGCCTATCTGTATCTCCATCCAAGACCCTGTGTCAGTCTCAGGATTAAGAATTCTCCTCACGGATCCAGAAGACAGGACCCCGAATAGTCACTCTCCGGCCCTCGGTGAAAGCAAAGAAAGGGTTAACCTTAGCACGAACTGCGCGTGCGCGGAGAGGAAAGCTCCTGGCTTTGCTGTCACCCATAGCCCCAGCCCCTTCCTTAGTCTCGTTTCCACCGGGTACATTGCCCCTCCTGCTAGTACAGATCCACCGCTGCGCTTGCGCAATCGGGTCTCCTAGCTTCTCAACCTTGGAGATTGAATTAACCCTTTGCAGGTGGCAGCGGAATAGAAGGGGAGAGGTCTGCGGTCTGAGAAGCCCGGATAGTCAGAAGTTTAGAGACGTTGTAGCCCAACCCGCTCATTTTATAGATACTTTTATAGCGGAAAGAGAGGCCAAGAGAGGGGAAAAGATTCGCCCCAAGTCACTTAGGCAGTCCAGAGGAGGGGTCAGATCTAAAACTCAGGGAGCCTCGGGCTGCCTCTCCTTGGTTCCCAGAAGCCTCCGAAATCTTTCCTCTAGGCTTTAAACTTGGAAGCAGTATGTGCCGAGTGTCTAGAGCCGGGCTCATATGTCCTCTCTTTCACTTACTACCTCTGGGCCTCAGTTTCCCTATCTGGACGAGAGTAGATGACCTGGGAGATCCCTTCCGGTTCTAAATCTGATTTTATAAGGGTGAGAGTTTCCTGGAGAGGCTGCACTGCACTTGGGGGAGGATCGGCTAGCCTAGGAAGGACTTCCAGAGCGGCCTTAAGATTTGTGTACTCGAAGAGTTGTGTGTATGTGTTTCAATCTCTGCAGACTTTCTTTTCGTGATGGTCCGTGATGGTGGTAGGGCTTTGACCGGTGGGCTCCAGAAGGAAAGGGTTTGGGTACCGTCGTCAGTCAAGCAGTATTTATTAACCTCCTAGTACGTGCTAGGTACAGGGCTGAGGGCTAGGGATACTAAGGCAAAAAACAGTCTCTGCCCTCGGGGGGCTTACACTCTAACGGGGGAATTCCAGACCTCCCTCTCCCCTAGTACGTTGTAGGTGCCTTATCCTTGGGCCGGCTCACCGTAACTTTGGACCTAGAACGTAGACTGCCTAAAAATATCTTTATTGGGGTGATGGAAGCTAGGGGATGAAGAGGGCTTTCTTCCGAATAGCGGTACAGCAACCTGGGGAGTGAGGCAGGGAGAAAAGAGGTCTTAACCCACCGGCAGAGGGCAGGAGTTTGCCAGACCCAGTTTGGGCCTCAGAGGGTCGGGAAAATCAGGCAGTCAAAAAACCTGGGTCCCTTAGGGCGCTGTGTGAGTGTGTGTGCGTGAGTGTGTGTGTGTGAGTGTGTGAGTGTGTGTGTGCGCGCGCCCGCGTGCCCGCGTGTGAAATAAGGATGCCTGGGTCCCAGTGGATATGACAGGAGCTCCTGGTGTCTGACCAGTCCCTGGTGAGGTGGGGCTGGGGGATCCAGCCTCCCGGGTCCTCGGGGAGGGCGTCACTCACATCCCCAGCACGATGAAGCTCGTGGTGCCCAGGCCAGCTGCCAGCCCAAGCAGGCACAGGTTTCTCAGCGTCAGGGCCCCGGGGTGGGCCAGCAGTGTGGAAAAGCTTGGCTGCCAGGGTTCTGGACAGTCGGCCTTGGAGCCTTTTGCCTTCAGCACCGCCCGGAACAAGGTCTGCAGTTCTGTTTCATTCTGCGCTTTCCCTGAAGTCACTGGGGACACGCGAGGCGCAAAGGCGGGGCCCGAGCCTGTTCTCGCCTTCCCACTGCGTCCTCACCTTCCACCTCCAGAACCCTGCCCTCCCCACCTGCCCCAGGCCTGCGGCTGCCCCAGCTCAGGCTCGGCCTCACCATTTAGGAAGAAGAACAACCGGGCCAAGGGTTGCTCGTCGGAACTAAGCAGGCAGGAGAAAGTCCCGCGGTGCGGGGGCCGAACAGGCCGGATCCGAGCAAACTCATCTTGTGCTCTAGGCATCACGCGGAAGTAGGAGAGGTCCTTGGTCCGGATCTGGGGATGGGAAAGGAAGAGGGGGCCATGAGACCAAGAAATGCCAAGAGACAGGGGCCTGGGTAGAGACAGAGAAACACGGAGAGACAAAGTCGGTAGCACGCAGGCAGAAACACGGACAGAGGCATCGAGAGAGAGGGGGAAAGGCAGCGTCAGGAGGGAATGGGGAAAGAGGTAAGGACGGGAATGGGAGGGATGGAAAGAAGGTTGGGGGTGGACAGATGGAGGGATAGAGGATGAAAGGATGGAAGCAAGGATGAAAGGAAAGGTTAGGGGATAGACAGATGGAGAGATGGGGGGTGAAGGGATAGAAGCAAGGATGGGGATGAAGGATGGAAGGAAGGTTGGGAGGGTGGACAGATGGAGGGATAGGAGATGAAGGGATGGAGACAAGGATGGGGATGAAGGGGTACCAGAAAGAGAGGAAGGAAGATTGGGTTGGCAATGGACGTATGGAGATAAATGGAGGTTAGGTGGGGGAAGGAGGATGAAGGAATGGAGACGGAGAGCGGGGCCGGGGGGGGGGGGAGGGAGATTGCAAAGTGTTGAGATGCTAACGAAAAGAGGGAAAGAGGAAGCAGGAAGAGCTTTTTCTAGGAATTAGGAAGTGAAAGGCTGAGGCTGGAGGTTCGAGCCAGGGTCAGATATGCCCCCTCCCCCTCCCAGTTACGCTAGGAGACACTCACATTCCCCGCAAACAGCCAGGTATAGGTCAGCTCCGAGGGAGTGGAGAAAGACACGGAGCACGAGAAGGCAGCCTGGCCTCCCACTGGCACCAGCAAGTCCCGGACTGGGGAGGGGGTCAGGTTCTGCCTAAAAACCTAGCCCACCCACTTGGAATTCTCCATGCCGCCCTCCTCCCCCCATCTCCGTAAAGATGCTCTTGAACCCCGGGTTTTTGAGCCCCGCCCCCACGGAATCTCCCGGCTCTGCGCCCATTAAAAAAACCTCCGGGCCCCGCCCCCTCTGGCCCCACCCCTTCGGCAGTTCTCTTGGCCCCGCCCTTATCAACCTCTCTAGGTCCCGCCCCCTCCAAGGTGGCCCCGCCCCCAGCCTCCTCCCGGCCCCGCCCCCTACTCGGGCACTCCAGCGGGAGGTCACAGTCATGGGCAGCGCACGAATTGCAGAAGAAGAGTCGGGCCATCTCCTGGAACCCTTGGGGGGCGGAGGTTAGCAGAGAGGTTGCTGCTTGGCTCAGAGCTCCGGCCCTAACGGTCCGGGGTCCCGCCTCCCTCCTTCCACCGTTCTCATTGGTCCAACCCAGGCGCAGTCCCAACCCTCTATCTTCCTATTGGCCACTTCGGGACAGGCTCCGCCCCTCATGGGTGGGGAGACGTCATAGAACTGCACCTGACCTCTGCCTCTCCGATGAATTATTAAAAAAACTAACCCCGCCCCCACCCCGCCCATTGGTCGGTTCCATCCAGCTGGGCGGGTTCCTCTGGGGCTTACCGCAGGGTGGCACGCAGGCGGGGGCTGAGAAGAGAGTGCAGAGAGCCCAAATCAGCCTCCTCCCCCACTCATCGTTATGGGGGAGGGCGGGCAGGGGGCGGGGGTGGGGTGGGAATGGAAACACCCCCGTCCCTCCCTCTCCTCCGGGGCTTCTCGAAGGGGGCGGGGCGACCGGGATAATTTAGCATTCTGTGTAGGATACAGGCATGATAGTCCCGCAATCCGTGGAGAGGAAGGGGGCCGGGTAATGTAACAATTTCATGGATGGGGTGGGGCCTGATCGTCTAGCGTTCCACGGAGGGGGCGGGGCCAGATAATGCAACAGTAGATGGTGGGGGCGGGGCCTGATAAGTCAGCATTCCAAGGAGGGGGTGGGGCCAGGTAATGTAACATTACTTGGAGGGCGGGGCCAGGTAACTCCCAGTGCCAAGGAGGGAGGGGGCGGGGCTTCAGAATGCTTGGGGGTCTCTGGGAGCTGGCCTTGGGGAGGAGGTGCAGAGGTTCTACCTTTGCTCAGCTCCTTGACGACCTCTTCTATGCTCCGGGCAGCCGCGGGGAAGGCCACTTTGTAGGACTCTGGGGGTGAAGGTAGGGGTGGGGAGCCAGGGCGGGGTGGATGAATAGACTGTTAGAGCCAGAGTCTCTGGCCAGGGGCAGCGGAGGGGCATGAGTCGGGAGATTCCCCCCTTGCCCCAGCCCTCTGGCTGTACCGCCCTCTCTCTCCTCTAAAGACAACACTAGCCTCTCCAGGAGTGTTGTACTTCAAATCAGATACGATTCTCAGATCTGGCACTACACGTGTGACCTTGGGCAGGTCCCTTAACTCCTGTGGGTCTCATGTGTAAAATGAAGAGGTTGATCTATATGGTCCTATTTAGTTCCCTTGCAGCTCCAAACTCTGAAAATGTAAACAGCTTTTCAGGGGCAGCTCAACACAGTTGATGAAATGCTGCGCTTGAAGTAAGGAAGAGTTGAGTTCAAATTCTACTTAACCTATCTGAGATTCAGGCAACTCTGAGAGTAATTCATAGACAGGTGGAGAAAGTCCCACATTTAGTGTACTTGGAAGTTGATGTAGTACTTTTCTCATTTCTATGGGGGTAAGTGGGGTTTAAAAAAAAATCTTCATTTAGCTCCAAGAAGCTGAGGGTGGAAGAGAACTGACCGACAATCACACAGCTGTTCTGCAACCATGGGAGACAGACACCTTCATGAAAGGCTTAGGGGATGGAGCATTGGGTTTTGAGCAAGGACACCTGGGTTAAGCTCCTGCCCCAGATATTCACTAGCTGTGGGATCATGGGCCAGTCAAATGACCTCTCAGACCCTCAGTTTCCTCATCTGGAAAATGGGAATAATAATTCTAAATGGCTAGTTGGGGTTGCATTGCATAACTTCAAGTGATGTAGAAACCTGAGCTGTTATTACCAGGAAGAGGGTTTAGGTGTGTCCTGGTTGGCCCCCAGAAGGTTGGACCAGGAGGGGAAAGGGGAGAAGGCGCAATTAAAAAGAGCTCAGCTCAAGGTGAGGGAATACTTCCTAATGGCTAGAGCCCCCAAAGTGGAGTGGTTGCCTGGCTCCTCCCACCCTCACCCACCGCCCTCAGGTACATGAGCTCCCAGTCACTGGAGGCCCTCAAGCAGGGACAACTCTTACTGATGTTTGTGGCTTAGCATAAGAGATTGGACTAGATGACTTTTGGGTGGGGTCCACTTTTACTCTGAGATCTTAGATGTCTCCCTAATGATTTGCTCATTCTCCATCTTCTGTCTACCTGTTGTGAGCTCACTTTGTGAGGCCTGATTCAATTTTTTAAAAATTAATAAGTGCCTACTGTGTGCCCAGCATTGTGCTACACTGTAAAGATTCAAACACAAAAATGCATGTCCTTCCCTCAGGGAGCTTACAGATTACTGGAAAATACTACTTACACAGAGAATTACTGATGAGGATTTATTGTGAAGTCAGCCAGCCCACAAACACTTATTAAACATATTATTACAAGTAGTCTCTGCCCTTAAGGAGCTCACCTTCTAATGGGGAGACTGCGTGAGTGGGACTGTCAGAGGGAAGGCTTCTGGGGAGACTGGAAAGGCCTCTTCCAGCAGAAGAAAGAAGCTGAGAGGCCTGGGGTAAGAGGAGGTAGTTAGTGAAAAGGCCCCTGGCAGATGGAATGCCATGTGTGAGGAGCCACATAAAGGTCCCTGGGTGCTGGATTGTAGATTGGGTAATAAGGTGAAAGGACGCTGGAAACGTGGGTTAGGTCATGAAGAACTTTGAATGTCAAACAGATTTTATATGTGATTCTGGAGGTAATAGGGAGCCATCAGAGTTTACTGAGTAAGGGGCAGAGGGAGGGGGGTGACATGTTCAGGTCAGTGGAGGATGGATTGGAGGCGGGAAGACCAGGCAGCAGCTACTGCATTAGTCCAGATGTGAGGTGATGAGGAGGTAGCTGGCTGAGTACAGAGAAGGAGAGATGTATATGAGAGAGGATGAGAACATAGAAGAGCCTGTAGTTGGTGACAGGTTGGATCTGGGAGGTGTGAGGAGTCAAAAATGACCTGTAGGTTGTATCTTGGATGATCGGGAGGACTGTGGGGAGGTCTGGAAGAAGGGAAAGCAAGAGTGAGTTCTGTTTTAGACATGTTGAGTTCCAGCTGTTTAACATCCAGTTTGAGACATCTCAAAGGCAGTTGGTGGGTGATGTGAGACAAGAGGAGCTGATGAGATCACCAGGTGGGATAGTACAGAGGGAGAAGAGGGCCCAGATCAGAGCCTGGGGGACACAAAAAAGGAGTCTGAGAAGTGATCAGAGAAGTAGGAGAACTGGGAGAGAAAACCTAGAGAGAAGTCATTGAGGATAGGAGGGTGATTGAAAGTAGCAAAGGCTGCAGAGACGTTAGGAAGGATGGGGACTTAGAAAAGGTCATCGATTGGGGAATTAAGAGATTACTGGTAACTTTGTAAAGAACAGTTTCAGTTGAATGATGAGGTTGGAAGCCAGGACACAGAGTTTTGGGAAATGAGTTGGGACAGGAATTAAAGGCACTCAGTGTAGATGGCTTTCTCAAGGAGTTTAGCTACAAAGTGAAGGACAGATGGGATAATAGCTATCTTGGCTGGTTGGATCAAGTGAGAGATTTTTTTCTTCTTTTTAAGGATGGGGGAGACCCGGATGGCAGCAGAGAAGCAGACAGTAAACAGGGAGAGATTGAAGGTTAGCGAGAGTGGGGATGATAGAGGGGGCAATCTGTTGGAGAGGACAGGGTAGAACGGGGAGCAAGGATGCCTGCAGAGGGGTTTTCCTTGGCAGGGATGAGGGTTACCTTATTATGTGAGACAAAGGTGAAGGAGATAGTGTGGGAAGATAGCTGAGTGAAGTGAGATGAGGAGGAGGGAGCCCTCAGTGAATGGCCTCAATTTTTTCAGTGAAATATGAGGCGAGGTTCTCAGCTGAAAGGGTGGGGGGAGGGGGTGCCATGGGAGACTTGAGTAGGAGATGAAAAGGTTTGGAAGAGCCGCTGTGGTGAGTGGAATGGGAATTCATTATATCTGCTCTGGGAATCTGGCTCACCCCATCTCCAAGGGAGGCTGTTATTTCCTCCCTGGTGGAGAGCAAAAGAGGGGCTGTGTGCTGGACACGTATTCTTCCTGTTTCCTATTTCTATGTGATAGAATTCTATTTATCTACCACCCCTCAAATATTGACAGACTGGGGGCTCGAGGCTCTCTCAGGGATTTCAAAATAAAAACCACTCTCCCTGGTCTCTCTAAAGAGGCTGGTAATGGTGAGCACGTGGGTTCTTTCTCCCCCACCTGCCTCTGTCTCTGTCTCCTCTCTCCCTCCTCCTCTCTCTCTTCCCCCTTTCAATCCCCACACTGTTTCTCTTCTCTCTCTTTCTCTCATGTCTCCCCCCTCCCTTTTCTCTCTCTCTGTCTCTCTCCTCTCTTTCTCTCTCTCATTCCCTCCTCTCTCTCTCCTCTCTCTCTCTCCTCTCCTCTCTCTTCTCTCTCCCCCCTCTTTCTTCTCTCTCTCTCTCTCTCTCTCTCTCTCTCTCTCTCTCTCTCTCTCTCTCTCTCTCTCTCTCTCCTTCCTTTACTGGTTACACTAAAGTCAGTCTCTGAAAGCAAGCAGTCACATCCATCCCAGCACACAGAAAACAGACTTTGGGGAAGTTACACAGATTAGAGAAGTAGATAGAATACAGAGGGGGCACATATGATTTTCAACTCAGAGAAAAGAGAAAACCTCAGTTCTATTAAAGAGAGAATGAACTCTCTGCTCTTAACAGTCCCGGGGGGGGGGGTGCAGGTGTTGGGAAATGAGGGACTGTTGGTTGGAGGGCTGGCTTTCTCATATCTTCAGATAAGAGACCTCCTGCATTGAGCAGGGAAGGAGTCAGTAGAAAGGCCAGGACTGAAGACTGGAGAGAGACAGTGGGGATGATAGAGGGGGAATCTGCTGCAGAAGATGGGATGGAATGGGATTACTTGTGTATGTAAAGAAGTCTGCCTTGTCAGGGAGAAGGGTCATTGCAATATGTAAGCTGGGTGAAGGAGGAGATAGTGGGGGAAGGCATCTGAGTGATGTGAGATGAGGAGGAGGGGAGAAGAAGGAATTTTTGGTGAATGGCCTCATTTTTTTTTTCCAGTTAAGTATGAAGCAATATCCTCAGCTGATAGGAGAGGGGGAGGGAGAGTCATGGAAATTTTGAGTAGAGGTGAGAAGGTCTGGAACAACCACTGCAGTGAATTGATTAGGGGGTTTAAAAGCACTGTTTTGCTGCAGTGGGGCCCCGTTGAGATTAGATAACATGCATTGGAAGGGGACCCACTTGGCACAATTTTGTGAGTTTCTCCAGATCTGTTCAGCAGCACACGAATAGGAGTGAATGCTGTGGTTGGTGGGAGTAATCCAAGCTTGGGGTTTGTTGAGGAGAGCTTGGTGATAGGGCATGGGACTTGAGTATGGAGGACTGTGTAAAATTTAACAAAAGGTCAAGATAGGGAAGGGAGGATAGTGTGGCCAGTGCAGGGGTGATGGCCTGGGAGGACTCTGAGGCTGGAGGAATCGATAGTCATGGTGAGGATGAAGAACAGAGTTTAGGATCACGAGGAAGAGGGAAAGTTAGCATGATAAAAGATTATGATCAAATAAAGGAATTCTGGAGTTCATGACCATGCAGGGGAGCCCTTGTGGGGAATGGCAAAGTCAAGGATATGGCTATCCATGTGGGTGATGGAGGTCTGGGTCATGGGAACTGAGGACTTTGAAGAACCGAGAGTGAAGCTATTTGAGTGAGCATCGCCATGTAGGTTGGGGTCACCTAATATGAGACTTGGGGTAGGAGGGGAGAGAGATACTGTGAGCCAGGAACTGAGGTCACTGAAGAAAGGAGATGCCCCCGAGACTGAGAGAACACCACCAGAATCCAGATTGGGTGATAAATATGGATTGGATGACCTCAAAGGAGGAGAGCTACTGAGTGACCTGGCGAAGAGAAAGTCTGTAAGTGGCAATGGGGAGCAAGAAGCATTGGTCTCTCCTATCATGACTGGTAAGTTAGGGGGTG